ACCCCCACCTTGCCTGCTGGCCCACCTGCTTGGCTGCCTTGTGCTGCTTCCTGCAGCGGCGACACTCGATAAGGGGTGGCAGTGGCAGGGAAGCAAGCTGCGCTTAGGGTAGGGGCAGCGGTGGTTCAGGTTCTGTGGAAAGGGGAAAGTAACATTCAGCGTCGCCTTGGGGCTAGAGGGCTCCTCCTCCCAGCCTCGCAGGAAGAGCAGCGGGGACAAAAGGCTTCCTTTCACAAGACGGTGCGATGTTGAACACCTACCCCCAACTACTAGAAAAACTTCACAGGCTGCACTTGGGGAAGGGGCAGTGGGGGGAAGTAAACTGCGCTGGGGGAAGGGGCAGCAGCAACGGGCCTGGGCTAGATGGAAGTTGGGGGGCCTTGTTAGGAAATCAGAGGGCCGGGCCCCAAAATACCCCAATGTACCTACGGGCCTGGGAGACGATGGTGGGAGGGCTTCTGGAGTTCTGGTCCCACTGGTGGACCTCCTGACGGCACTTGGTTTTTGGCCACTGTGTGACACAGAGTGCTGGACTAGATGGGCCATTTAGCCTGATCTAACATGGTTTTTAAGTGTTTCCACACCATTTTGTGGGCCCACAAAGTTATATCATTTCAATTAACCAGGTAGGAATGCAGAGAGTAGCTGTCAGCCAAGCTTTTATTCCTGAGGTGAATATTGGGCCTTTCCCCAACTCTAGTGAAATACAATGGGCTGTGTGTGGGAAAACTCAGAATAACTGGGTTACCTTTCTGTCAATTGAAAACTTAATTAGATGGTAAAAACTTCATAGCTCTCTGTGGGAACTTGGGAACCGAGCCTATTTTGTGGTCGCCAACCAAATACAAGACTGTCTCCATCTCCGGTACTTCAGGTTACATATTAGCAGCCATGGGAACAATGTGGGGAGATCTGTTTTCCAGTTCTGTTCCCTGCACATGTATGGTATCTGGGGAAACTGAGAATTATAGGAATTTTCTATTCACCACATCACATTGGTCCATGTTGAATTGCTCTGGGGACATTTGCCACATCAAAATACATTTTAATTTCTTCCGACTTCTTCATACTCCGAGAGTTTTGTGTCTAAATGTTAGGCTGGCAATAGCTGGTCAGAGAGATGAATGAATTGCTAGAATGTGCATCCATTAGCCCATTGTCCCTGCAAAATTGTTCAGTAAAAGAACTAAAGGCTGGCAGCTGAATACAAGACCTCTACCCCCAAAACATTTCACTAACACTTGTCATGGTAATGAGTCGTTTTCCTGCAAGCAACTTTTTGGCAGTCGAGCTGCATAGTAATACTGCAAAAAAACCAACAAACCCGACAATGGAAGTCCGGAGGGTTTATTCACATTACACTGAGGGTTAGCCGATTCGGGTCAGGCTTACAGGGTTAGGACTAGAATGAGACTTAGAGGGTTAGAGTGGAGGGTACAGGACTAGGGTTATGGCCAGTGTTAGTGGTGTGTGGGGAGGAAAATAAGAATGTTTTATTTTAATCCACTTTACAAAGTTAGAATCTTAATAAGGTGGCTTACAATACAATTGCATATAATGAGTTGGATTCGGCACAACATTTCTGCTTCTGTTGGAGCTCTTGCCCAAGCAGAAATGTAAGGAAAAGGCTGCTCGTGCTAAGTCAAACTTGTTTTATCTCCACTTGTGCTTCCACAAGATCTTGTGCAATCAGCTTCTGGGCACTATAATATATGAGGAGGAAAGCACTCGATGTGGCAAAAGATCTTGGCGCAAGCAGAAGTGCGCTGAGTCCATTTAAGTTTCCGCTTGGGTATTGCCGGAGCCAAGCCAGTGTATACACAACCTGACCACCAAGCCTGCTCCTATTCCCTCTGGTCTTCCAGTACGACATGCTTGCAGTGCAGCCCCTTCTCCCTAAAATAGCTGGGAGGGTTTTGCAGTTGGGAGGTTCCACAGGGCAAGTGCAGGTGAGAAGCAATGGACAGCTGGCAGGGATGGATGGATGGGGCTGAGCAAAGAAAGAGAGAAGGCAAAGGGAGAGCTTTGGTGGGCTGGGAGATTTCTGAACTTGCCTGTGCTGGCTTCTTCACTTCCTGGTATTTAACTTGTGTTTCCTGTCCCGGGCTCACTTGGTGTGTTGCTCACACGCCTGGCCTTGACACTGTGAAGGCCCTAACTCTGCCTCCCCCTCTTTCTGTCATGTGACTGTGGTGCCATAGGAACTCCTGTCACATGATTGCAGCTCGGTGTATCCCATGCTGTCAATGGGGGGTTGAAGGCAGATCCCACATCTGGAAATGTTGGAGACCAGTGATATATAGACCTTTCTCTTTCCTGAACTTGTAAGCAATCATGCTACTTCTAAGTTGGCTAACTGTGAGTGCAGTTCTAAGCAAAGATGCGCCATTAGTCCACTGAAGTCAGTGTGAACACATCAAGCTGCTTCATACTGGATCAGGCCACTTGGAGAGCTTCCTGACTACTGCTCATATTTGACTGTTCCTCGCTGTAGTCGTGCCTTTAGGTTGGCGCGCCTCAATGCCTTACCATCTAGGGTTTGGCAAGGGAGATATCTTAAGATTCCATACTCTGGAGACCTCCTTAGAATACCAGCAGTCAGGAGGCGGGTGCAGGCTTTATTCAGCCACCTCTCTGAATATCCTCCGGGCCCCTGGTAGGGGTCAATCACCAGAGGTTGCCATGAGTTCCAGGTGCACACACAGTCAGTCACCAGATGCCACCATGACTTCCAGGTGCACATACACTCACACGTACACACATATGACTATATGAAAAAAAAGAGAAAGAAAGATCCCATACTCTGATAGAGTATGCAATTGTGGTGCAGGTAATGTAGAACCCTATATCACGTAACCTTTGAAAGCAATTACTTTTCTAAGCCCAGAAATATAGATCATATGGTGGCATTACCTCTTTTGTTAAAAGATAATAGCAGACCTATCACTCTTCTAGCTGCAAATTTTATGCACCTGTGATAGATTTTCACAGCCATTCAAACAGGGGCTAGCTTTTCCTATATCATAGTAATCTGCTCAAAACTAATAAGTTAAGAAGCAGCATAAGGTCAATAGAGAGATAGAATCAGGCCACTGGTCCACTGAAGTCAGTATTATCTATGTAGACCAGCAGTGGCTATCCAGAATCTCAGGCAGAGGTCTTTTGCATTACTTACCACCGCAGGAGGGGAGCGGTGGTGCAGGTGGTTAAACACCTGGTGTAATAACATCTGCGAACTGCTGAAGCAGTTCGATACCCACCGTGGCTAGATTGAGCACCTGGCCCTTTGTCCCAGCTCCCGCCAACCCAGCGGTTCGAAAGCGCCCTTAACCAACTAAAGCGCGAGTAGATAAATTGGGAACCTACCTTAGAAGGTAGGGGGCACACACCCCCCATTCCGGGGGTCGTTGGAGGGCTGGTTTCGGCGGAAGGTGAACGGCAGCGGCAGCAGCGAGCGGAAAAATGGCGTCCGGAATACATCAGTGGCGAACCTGATGGCAGCGGAGAAGGCGGAGCCAGGACGACGTGTGAGCGTGGCAGCGCAGGCGGGCGGAGCCGTAAAGGACAGAGCCAGGACCGTGCCAAGCATGCCGCACGCCAGAGGGGCCTACCGATCCGCCGCGAAAAGAGGACTGCCAGAAAAAGAGAGGAGCCAGAAGCCGCAGCTGAAAGACAACGGAAAGAAGCCGACCGAGGAAAGAAACCCCCCCTCCACTGGGTGCTGGTAGGGATGTCCCCACCCCTGATGAATTGTGGCCTTAGATAGGGATAATGGATAACTGTATAGCCGCTCAGAGACCCCTTCGGGGATTAGAGCGGGATAGTAAGACGAAAGTAATAAATAAATAAATAAATAATAAATTGGAGTTGCTGGGGATCGAACCCAGGACCTTCTGCTTGCCAAGCAGCTGCTCTGGCATTGAGCCACAGCCCCCTCAATGTGCTTAGAAGGATGTAACTCTACATAAGATTACACTGTATGGCACACAACTGAGCCAAGATGTCTTTAGGTTTGATTTTAATGTCAAACAGGTTTGATGCGTCATAACCTGTCAGAAAACAACTATGCAAGTTGCACATTTCAAAGTATTCCACCACTTTTTGTCCATGCCCTGAACATTATTCAGGCGAAGCTGTGAAAGAGCCCTTGACTCCACCACCAGGAAGGCTATGAGCCAAAATGGGAATTCTCAAAATTCATGTCTTGAGACTATTTGCAAGTGCGTTTGCTTGTTAAAAATATTGGGTCTATGGAGGGCATGGGAGGAGGACAGTTTAAAAAGGAGGAGCAAAAGCCAGGGCAAAGGAATTGATAAACTCTTGTTAACCGCTCTGAATCTTTGGGACAGAGGGCAAATCAATAAACGGCTATCTATAGATTTTTGGCTATTGAGCATTGATATATCCCTGAATTGATATTTCATAGAACAAAGCAACCAGGTTATTTCCCTTGGGTTGGATCGCTCTGAAAATTTCTGCTGACAGAAGGATTTCCTTCAGTGGAACATGATTTTCTTGCCTCCTCACCCCCACTATAGCCCAAAATGCACCCCCCAAGACCAATGTTCCCTCTAAGCGGTGAAGTCCTATGAGCAAAAATTCTACTTTGTGAGCTACTGGCAATAAAGTTGTGAGCAAGTAATTTGGCTGATGCATAAATTAGTTTGCTCTGGAGCCCTCCTTCCTGAGCTAAGATAAAAATGTGTGAGCTGGAGGCTAAAAACAGTGAGCTAGCTCACACTAACTCAGCTTAGAGGGAACAGTGCCCAAGACCCTTGTTCCTAGGGCTGATAGACTCCCAGAAACAGTGTAAGTGGGGAATTAGAGGTTTGCACTGGTGAGGGGGGTGGAGTTGCTGCCCAGAAAATGTTGCCCATTCCATCAGTGGAAATCCTGTGCAGTTTCATTCAAAAATGGCTTTAGACCACAACACAGCCCCCGTTGGCAAAACCCAACTGACTCGTATCCCTCTTTCTTCCCCCTTCTCCTGTCTGTTACAGCTACCGACTGAATTTCAGGAACGCGTGAGCATCCACCTGGAGAAGCACGGGTGCAGCCTTTCAGTACCTCTATGTCACACATCATTCGCGGACAACATCCCAACTTGCGTCATCGCTAAAGTGCTAGAAAAGCCTGACCCAAACAGCCTGTCGTCACGCTTGTCGAGCCCGTCTGCTAGAGACATGGCCTTCCAGGACTCAATGGGAAAGCTTGGTCCGAGGCCACAGTATAAGTCTGACATCTACTGCAGCGATACAGCCCTTTACTGCCCTGATGAGAGGAGAAGGGAAAGGAGACAGAGTGTCGATATGCAGGTTAAAGACGTTGGCTTTTTGAGGTCCCAGAACTCCACGGACAGCACTGTGGAAGAAGACGGCTTCCATTCCAGCTTCTCTCACGAAGCTTTCCCAGAATACGTTACCTCTCTACCTACATCTAGCTCCTACTCCAGCTTCAGCGTAACGTCGGAGGAGAAGGAGAATGCCCAGGCCAGCACGCTGACTGCCTCCCAGCAGGCGATTTATATGAGCAGCCGTGACGAGATGTTCGAAAGAAAGCCATCTTCAGGTTACGACCACCAGGGGAGTCCGCGGTTCGCCAAGTCGAAATCCGTTCAGCACATGGAGCTGGCAGATGATAACGAGGACTCCCCAACCTTCACCAGGACTATGTCGCCTTACTCAAGTGAGCCTTATCATTTCTCGGCCATAACCACTCAGCAAGCTCAGAAAATGCGTAGCGAGTGCAGGAACACCCACCTGTCCGAAGAGGACCTGCCAGGACGGTGGAGGCAGCTGAGCGTTGAGGATATCGGGGCGTATTCTTACAGAAACAGTGGCAGGCTTTCGCCCTGCAGCTTTTCAGAGCAGTATTATAGGAGCCCCATAAAGAAAGCAGACAGCCGGTCGAGTCCCATTTATGCTAGTTACAAAGCGGATAGCTTCTTGGAAGGAGACGAGCTTTGTCAAAGCAGACTTGTGGATTCTTGCTTCCTGAGAACAGACAGTGGTTTGAATATTGACATCAGTGCTAGTTGTAAACAGGACAAGCTGGCTTCGTACAAAACAAAAGAATCGAGAGACAAAAAAAACGAAAGGATCACAGTCCAGGTGTGCAGTAGCAAAAGCATGGAAGGCAGCCCGGTCTTGAAAAGAGAATATGTTGATGTTAGTCCAAACAGTTCAGCCGAGTCCCTCAATCAGAGTTCTATGGAGGCATCAGAGATCCATCAGTCTTCCATCGATCAAGGAAGCCATTCAAGCCTTCATAGCAAACAGCAGCAATTCCAACGGACTGGAAGTACTGGCTTGAGTCGGAAGGATAGTCTCACAAAAGCACAACTGTATGGGACTCTCCTAAATTAAACATCTTCCAAAGCTGCAATAAGGAGGCAGACCACAATGATGATGACAGAGGTGACCATTGATACTCCTAGTGTACGGTAGGCTGAGAAAAGCAGAATTATTATACAATATATATTCATATTCACAATGGTACTGTTTTAAAAAGGGAGGGAGAAAATTCCCCCAATTATGATGAAAAACATTACTCAGCACTTTTCACACAATGACTTTTCCATCTTGGATACCAACCCTGAGCCCACTTTTATACCCTGATATATTTTTATAAACAAAATGGTATTTATTAGACTGTCCTTAGTACTCTCAAGCGCTATGAGTGACATTTTTTGTCCCCTTCAAGTAGGTTTCTTATTTATTTTTTGTGCATGAGGCCACCTGTGCCTAATCTCTTGGAGGAAAAGGGTGTGTGTGTGTGAGAGAGAAACTCCTTATCACAAAGACAAATCAAACCCCTATAAGATTCTTTTAAAAAGTGGATGGTGTGTAGTGCAGGACATACGAGAATGGTGATGTTATTTTAAAAAAATAAATCTATTTTTAAATGAAATGGAACCGAAATGACCCACTGAGTTATTTAATACAGATGTATTTAGGAGAAAAAAATTAAAAAGGATGCACATACGGATATTTTGGTTTGTCTGTCCCGCTGTGTTTCTACTCTGCCCCTGTACACTACCTCAACATTAATTGAGGGTTTGTCACCTATTTTTCTGTAGGCTTGCATTTATATTGTCTCAGATGCATGGAGTGTCATAATTAGTACTGTATTTTGCATTACTTAATAAAAGACACAAGTGAAAATGTTCTGAAGGGTTTTTTTTCTTCATTAAAAGTTGTTCCAAGAGGATCCTGTTACCAAGTCGTTTTTTTCAGTAAGGTCCGTTTGGAGTACAGCTCCCGTTATTTTGTGGAACCCTTTGAAGGAAGTAATTTTGTGCCAAGCAATGCCGCGTGGCATTTTGATTCATTCCAGCGCAAGTTAGAAATGAATATTGCTCAAGCCGAAAAGCCAAATTCTGAATATTCACAACCTGAATAAATGATAGCTTGGATCCAACAGAGCATTTCAACGGATGAAAGGATTTCCATCCAAGGAGCATGCGACTTTCTTGCTTCCTCTCTTCTGGTGCAGCCTGAAATGCCCCCAGACTGTTTTGTGGGAATATTAGGTGCTGTGTCCAGGATATCAAGTTCTGCAAATGTGTCCTTGTGTCCACTGAAACGCTCCATTGGATCCAACCTTTTGTTAGTAATACATATTACACAGTATTATTTATTAACCATAAATTGTGTTATCAGAAGAAACACATCGCGTATTAAAAACATGCTTTCAATCCTAGGCTAAGATCTCCATGCTAACTGAAGAAAGAACCATGGTGAAATAGTAAGGGGGGGGGACATGACAGAGATAAAATGATGAATGAAAACATAGTGACTAAAGTTTCAGAGGACGGCCATGTTGGTTTGCGGTAGAACAGCTAGATTCAAATCCAGTAGCTCCTTAGAGACCAACAAGACTTTCGGGGTATACATTTTTTTGTTCTCCAGGGTGCAACTGGGCTCAAATCTAATAGTGACCAAAGAGCAGTTATTTTGAATCCCCATCAAAACTGGTGTTCATCAACCTTATCAGCGATAGATTAAGGACAAAGTATGGGATTCAGGACCACAAGACTGGACAACAGTCACTACCACAGGGGTAAATCACACATTATGGTTGCCGTGAGCATGGTGCCTCATCATGTTGTGAATTTTTGTGTCTCCAAACATTGGAATCATTGTACATTATGATAGAGTTACCTCACATGCTGAGTTCCTAGAAACCATATGGGCCAGGCAGAGACCATTACTATGGGGAGCCATTGTTGGTAGTACCCCCGGTGGCAACTACACCCCGTTCCAGTCTTTACACACTGAGCCAGTCTGGTGTAGTGGTTAAGAGCGGCAGGACTCTAATCCAGAGAACCCAGTTTGAGTCCCCACTCCTCCACATGAAGCCAGCTGGGTGACCTTGGGTCAGGCACAGCTCTCTCAGAGCTCTCTCAGAGCTCTCTCAGCCCCACCTACCTCACAGGGTGTCTGTTGTGGGGAGAAGAAGGGAAGGAGGTTGTAAGCCACTCTGAGACTCCTTCGGGGTAGTGAAGGGCAGGGTATAAAAATCAACTCTTCTTCTTCTTCAAGATGGCATTATTAAGGAAGACTTGTTTATTCAGTCTTGGCCTGGATGGCCCAGGTTAGCTGGATCTCATCAGATCTTGGAACTACGTAGGGCCAGCCCTGGTTCATACGTGGATGGGAGACGGCCAAGGAAGTCCAGGGTTGCTACATAGAGGCAGGCCATGGAAAGCTACCTCTGTTCATTTCTTGCCTTTAAACCCTTCCGAGGATGCCATAAGTCAGCTGCAGCTTGATGGCGTTCTACCACCAGATGTTTGTTATATGCTGCAATTATAAGCCCTGGGCAACCGGCATCATACACTATGGGTCTTTTCATAAGGAGGTTTTCCCATCATTTGGATGCTTAACTTTGGCACCCAAACCATGGAGAAACCTCCATGTCTAAAGCTCCATGTTCACCCCCTGCATGTGTCTGAATCGCCCCTAATGTGAAGAAGTATGCATGCCCAGAGAAAGCTCCACAAGGACTCCCCCATTCTTCGACCCTCTCAACAAACATGGCCTTCACCTTGTTGTGTCCTCCATTGCAGCCATGAAAGCTCCTGATGATAATCTCTCTCTGCATTCCTGTAGCTCTTTCTGTTCTTCTAGGTTATAAACTGCAATTCCAACCAATTCACATGTACGAGGTTCTATGCAGTTTGTTTCTTTAAAAACAAAACCTTTCTTGATCTCAGAATAACATCAAGATACAAAGTCTCTGCTGAAAACAAACAGCAGCATCGTCAAGAGGCTGACATCGAAGGGGAAACAGGACATCAGGCTGGGTTTGGACCAATTTTCTCTTGGGTCCAAATACCTCTTCAGCTCTGGAAACTCTTGGATGGCTTTGGCTAAGTCTCTTGGTGCCAGCCTAGCCTACCTTGCTGGAGTAAGAACATAAGAAGAGCTCTGCTGGATCAGACCAGTGGTCCATCTAGTCCAGCATCCTGTCTCACACAGTGGCCAACCAGTTCCTCTGGAGGGCCAACAACAGGGCATAGAGGACAAGGCCTTCCCCTGATGCTGCACCTGGCTCTGGGATTCAGAGGAATAGTGCCTCTGAATGTGGAGGTTTCCCTCAGCCACCATGGCTAGCAGCCACTAATAGACCTGTCCTCCATGAATCTATCTAGTCCCCTTTTAAAGCTGTTTATTCCTGTGGCCATCACTACCTCCTCTGGCAGTGAATTCAACATTTTAATCATTCTACACAGTAGTATTTGCCTTTGTCTGTCCTGAACCTACTGCCCATCAGTTTCATTGGATGCCCTCCAGTTCTAGTATTTTGGGACAGGGAGAAAAATTTCTTTTTGTCAACTCTCTCCATCCCATGCATCTATATCTAATAGTGAAAGGTGCCCCCTGCGTGCGGATACCTAAATCCGTGCATCGGGGGCACCTGGGGGGGAGGGAGATTTTCGTGCACACTTGGGGCAGTCCCCAGGTGTGCACAAAAATCTAAAAACCCGGGGAAAGTATCAGGGGGATACTTAAATCCCCCCAAAAGTGACAGAGCGTCCCCAGAGCTTCGGAGCCGGGGGGAGGGGGGAGAGAGCAATGAGGCCCGAGAGGCAAGCCGCACGGGCCTCCCCCCCCCGCGAGTATCGCGGGTCCCGCCCCTTGTAATTTTATAAACCTCTATCCTTAGTTGTCTCTTCCCCAAACGGAAGAATCTCAGACTCTTCAGCCTTTCCTCATAGGGAAGGTGCACCAACCCCCCTAATTGTCTTGGTTGCCCTCCTCTGTACTTTTTCCAGCTCTGCACTGTCCTTTTTGAGATACGGTGACCAGAACTATACACAAGTATTCCAAATATGTCCACACCATAGATCTATACAGGGGCATCACAATATCAGCCATTTTATTCTCAATCCCTTTCCTAATAAACCCTAACATAGAGTTTGCCTTTTTCAGTACAGCAGCACACTGCGTTGAGCCTTTCATAGAGCTATCCACTCTGACCCCAAGTTTTCTTTCCCTCCCAGTCTCAATAAGGAAGCGTATACAACCACGTTTCAAGTGCGTAGCCATGTTGGTTTGCAGTAGAAGAGCGAGATTTGAGTCCAATAGCATCTTAGAGAGCAACAAGATTTCCAGGGTAGAAGGTTTGTGAGAGTTACAGTTCTTATGCTGTATCTGAAGAGGGGAGCTTTGACTTTTGAAAGCTCATACTCTGTAAAGTTCATTGGTCTTTACGGTGCTGCTAGACTCAGATCCTGCACTATAAAAACATGATTACTAATTAAAAACTTTGCCTGTTAATTTAAGGGGGGTGTCTCCTTTTGCCACTGTGGTGGCGTTTTATTATCTTACTTGGTTCTATCTATGTTGTTTTGGGGAAAGTATAAGACACCCCTGTATGTACGTTCACCTTTTCTTCACCTGCTTTCCAACATTTAGGGCAAATGCCACTTGAAATAAACTCTCAGGAGATGCAGCCTTGTGAGCACAAAACCGTCTTGCATCTCCTGCATGCCTACGGGCATCCATGCCCCAATACTCCTTCAGTCTCTTCCACCATTGCAGGAATACACCCATGACCCCCTGAGCAGAGACACAAGGGGAGCATAAAAATTAATCACAAAGCCCATCTTTGGCTTTGATTAGGCCACAGCAGGAGTTGAGTGCGCCATTCAGATTAGAAACCAAAGAATGAGATGCTTGAAAGGAAGCCGGCAAATATGATGAAAGGGTTTCGGCTGAATGACATGCGGCGGCTGAAAGAACTGGGTTTGGTTAGCATGGAGAGGTGGGAGAGAGAGAGAGAGAGAGAGGTGGAACAACCACAAACGTGTTCAAATATTTAAAAGACTTCTGTAAGGTAGATAAAAACTCAGTCCTTC